CGACCATCATGGTGTCTTATACCCGTGTCCTCTTTGCCATCCTGAAAAAGAAGTCTGAAAAGGGCAGGAGCAGAGCCTTCTCCACGTGCAGCGCCCACCTGCTCTCTGTCTCTTTGTTCTATGGCACTCTCTTCTTCATGTATGTGCGTCCTGGGTCTGGGCCAGATCAATATCAGGATAAAATGTATTCATTGTTCTACACGGTTATAATCCCCCTGCTAAACCCCTTTATTTATAGCCTAAGAAACAAGGAAGTTTTAGGTGCACTGAGAAAAGTGATAAAGAAATATTTGGGGAAAGCTTTCATTATTCCTTAAATCTCATTCTGTTTAAATAAAGCATAATGTGTCCCTGGGTTTCGCATGTAGTGGGGACTTAATCTATAATCGTTAAATGAATGAATAAAAAATTTAGAGTAGACTTTTCTTCATCATAAGTTGTGATCATCAAAATAATTAATGAGCATGGTAAAGACAGGCTCCGTTTACTTTGTGTTGTTGTTGTTTTTAATCCATCCTCAAAGATAAAAATAAAACAGAAATCTCCAAATTACTATGTCTTTGTAATTTGAATGAGCTTTTGTGCTTCCAGATACACACATTTTAAAACTTTTTGAACTTATATTCTTTTACAGGAAGAATTAGCATATGTAAATCCTCTTTAAACACTGCTCAAGCCCTCCTAGATAATTCTTGACTAAGTAATTTTCAAGATTTTATAGATATAAATATCTTTGATAGATGTTTATAACTATGCAAACGCTATGTGCACCAACGTAATACTGTTAGACTCAATATGACACTAATTCTTCTTGAGGCATTTAATGTAATATATCTGGGACGTTTACAATGTTGAATATTAACTTGCATTTGCATGGAATTCAATGAAAGATATGAAAATCAAGCAATTAATTACTTAAAATAATCTCTTTTCCTGCAATATAGTGAATAGCTCTGAGTTCTTTAAAAATTTCTTTTTAATTTATTGAGTAATGTCACTGAGAACCTTGTTTCCAGAACAGAAATACCAGTTGAATACTTTTTCCCCCTGTAATTGACAACTACCTGAAGTAGCAGGTGTGCTTGATCTTTTCCTTACAAATGTTACCTGTGTTTTCCATCTGGCCCTGCGGCCTCTTTGGTCTCCTGACTTTATTACGGATGGCCTTGTGAATACCCTAGTGAAAAACAAGAAAAGATATCCCCATATACATGACACATCCCTCTAACACCTGGTCTATTATTTCGATTTGAGGATAGAAACAATTTGTTGAGTCATTGAACAACAAAATCTGAGGTGGGGCCCACTGGCTTCACTACCGTGTGTTTGGGGTTTGGGGCTCCATTTCCTCAGACCTGCTCCTCTCACTGCACCTAAGCTCTGTGTTCTGCTCTATGGGCTCATTGGAACCACACTTCTCTCTATGGGTGCCAAGCATCTGTTAAGTTTCTGTCTCCACCTCTCCACAGTCAAGGCCAGTGGCGAAACTTTTTTTAAGTATTGGCTGTGTATCATGGTTGTCTGTCAATGTATAGATGTTCTCTGTCATCTTTATTTTTTCTAACAGAGCTGTCACTAAGGTGGGGTGTAACCCAGCAGCAGATTGGTACATTCTTCTGTGGTTTTGTCAGCACGGGTTGATACATAGCAGGACTGCCATCTTCATAGGCCCCCTGGAGAAACAGCCATAGTGAGTTCCATGGTCCATGGGGATAATTTTTTTGGCAAATGTTAAGCTATGCAATTTAAATATCCCATTTTATTGTGTTTGTTTTCATGGTGTTTAAGGTTGGAAAAAGCTAGTACTTGACTTTTTAGAGATTCTTTAAGAGGAGACTTTCTAAATTTATTTACTTCCTTTTCACCAGAGATATTCCAGGTTTGGTGAACTCACCTCTTCTTGTTTTTCTTATTTTTTTTTTTTCTACGACTAGAGGGTCTTAAACTTGCTACTTTGTTACAAAGAAGACATGTCATTAAAGGGGACAAGCTCACCTCTTGTGGACCTGGGAGGTTAGGGGAAAGACAGAAGATGGCAATAGTGAAAGAAGAATCAGACTTGCAGATTTTAATGTCTCCCTCTGGAGAGGACTGGGATTTGGAAGGCAGGGGGCAAATTGATAGTATGAAGTAGTGTGTTTTCTATTGCTGTTTTAACAAATAACCATGAACAGTGGCTTAAAACAATACAGATTTATTACATTAGCTCTGTAACGCAGAAGTCTGACTTGAATCTCATTGAATGAAAATCAAGGTGTTGGCAGGGTGAATTCCCTTTTGGAAGCTGTGGGTGAGACTTTACTTCCTCCCCTTTTCCAGCTTCTAGAAGCTGCCTACATCCTTTAACTCATGGGCCCCTTCAAAGCCAGCAGTGTTGCATCTCTCGGTGCCTGTCTTCTGTAGTCACAGTTTAGTCTTTAGACTCTGGCTCTTCTGCCTCCCTCTTCCACTTTAATGACCTTTGTGATTGCATTGGACCTCTCCAGATAATGCAGAATAATCTCCCTATTTTAAGGTCAGTTTATGGGCAAATGTAACTCTACCTGCAAGATTAATAACCCCTTTCCATGCAACCTAACATATTTACACGTTCATATCTTTGATGGCCATTATTTTGCCTACCACACAGACAGCCTTAGAAGAGAGGAACTTCTTCCTAGATTGCCAGTTAGGGCACTGGAAAAAAAATTTCTTGCTCTTCTCCTTCCTTATTTGGCTACATCAAAATGAACTTCATCCTGAAGTGTGTGAAGGCAGGAGAGCCTTGATGTTTAGCTTAGAGGCTGCTTCCCCTCACTGCATTGCATGGCCAGCACCTGGAAATTCCTGCGTATCTGAAACTGGCTGGGAGACGCACTCCTGAAAAGTAATGTTAAAGGATGGACTAGGGCATGTAGATAGAGGGTATAATAGACCCCCTAAGAGAGTTAGGAGAGGCAGAAAGCCTTTCAGGATAGTCAAGCCCTGTTCCATTCAAGAGAGACCAGATCACAAGTTCCAACAGGCCTTGACTTCGGCTGCAAAAGCTGAACAAATGAACAGTCTATAAGAGTGTGAGGATATTAGTAGGACCGAAGGTCCTAGGGACTTTCCTTCCACTCCCAACATGTCACATGTCACATGCTACCTCCCCCCCCATATTTTTATATGTCATCTCAGAGACAAAGGTGAAAAAGATGTAAATTAATTTCTTTTCTTCCATGTAGTGGTGGATATTCTATACCTGTTCCATGGATTGTTCAACAAATCATTGACTAGAATTACAGACCTCGGTCATCTCCAGGCTGAGGACATGACCTCATGATAGAAAGAATGGGAGATAGCAAGTTAACAGCCAAACAATTAAGTCCCCTTCTTGGACTCTGAATGTTTGAGTGTCACTTTTTCATGAGAACAGCCCAATTCCAACAGTGATAACTCAGTTCACAGAGGTAGCCTGGGACATATTTGTGAAGACCAGATGTGGGAGGACATGACCAGAGTCTCTAGCCAAGTCTAAAAGAGAGCCTAAAGCTTGTCAGGCAGAAGCCAAGGCCAATGTGAGAAATCTGACAAAATTAGCAAGTGAAGGCATACTAATCGTCCAACAATCAGCTCATCCAGCAATTGTTTCCACTCAAGCCAGACAGGTGAGGCATAGATGGGGCTACAACTTGGGAGTGGGAGTGAACATGTGGGAGAGAAGAACACTCAAGAGAAATAGGGTTTGGGGTGAAATTCTACACTTTCTGACACCTTATCAGAGACAATTGCTTAATCTCCAGATATTTCTGACCCACCCTATATTTAGACATACACAAGGGTAGCCTTGCTGACCATGTAGCTGAGATCCCTGGAATAGAGACAGGCTAAATACAGGGGCGGGGACAGCTTCCTAACAGGAGGAAAGACTTTCATCCAATATCTAGGTTTACTTAGCCAAACTTTGACAGTCTGTAACACAGTCTGTAACACAGAAAATCAGATTAAGGACAGAGGTCTTCTCACAAGTGGGTAGATCCCTCAAAAAGAGTCTTTTTAGTGGAGTAAAGTTTACTAAGAAGAGAATGTAATGGGTTGGGAAGACAGAAGGAAAATTTATTTGGGGGACATTTTGTAGAACAGCAAGCTGGTTCATTTATATTGACACTATCATGTTGATAAATACTCTGGATACATTTCCAAAGTTCATGTACTCCATAAAATGGCAGATAAATCCTACAAAAATTGTTTATTGGCAGTGTATAATTATAACACGTGGCAAAATAATATATTTTAAAAATTCTTGGTTCCTAGACAAAGAACAGCTATAGCTAGATTTGATAGAGAGACCAGATTATCAACTGGAGATCCTAGCTTTTTCTTAGAATATAGGTTATACGGGAATTGGGTTTGACTCCCTTGGGAAAATGCTGAAAGTATTGTCTATGTGGGAAGAAGGGTAAAACAGGTAAATGATAATCAGAAACTGTAGTAGACTCAGTGGAAGAAACTGTTAGGTGATCACCAAATCCATTTTCTTTTCATCCTAGACACACAGCCTCTGTCTTCAGTTGACTGTAGTAATGTGATTGACTTTAGGTTTGCAAGTGATGTGTATCACTTACATTTCTGGCTCATAAGCACCTCACGTTTGGAATCTCCTGTGCTTTCCCCTTCTAGCTTTATCCAAATGAAAACACAAACCCTGAAAGAAGTCAGGTGTGGAAGATGCTTGAGAGACAAGTTGGAAAGAGTATGGGACTCCGAATCATCAAATGGAATAGAATAGTTATTCAATTAAGACCATGTGCTTCATACTTATCATAAAGGAGAACTAAACTTCTATTATGTCGATCCACTAAAATATTGGCTATTATTTGTAAGTGTAATTAGTGTTACTATAAATTATATATATATTATACACACACACACACACACACACACACACACACTGCAAAAAAACAAACAAACCCCTCCTCAATTGTATACAGTTAGTTATTGGGTCTACTCCCTCAGTGTAGGGACATGGATATTTAGGGTTAACAATTTGAGTTGTTAGTCAATGTAGAATGAGTTATTTATACATGTCAAGTGGGGAGAGTGTGTGTGTAATGGATGATAGTGAAATGGTGTACATATTATAAAAATCAGTCTGGTGTCAGTGTGGAAAATGGACTGGAAGCCAGTGTTAGCAGATGCAGAGAGTGTAGTTATGAGGTCACTTAATAAACCCAGGCAAGAGATGAATGCATCATGATGGATTTTAGGATTAACTGTACAAATAGAAATTGTTGGTTTTAAGACATCTCTAGTACATAAAATCTAGAGGCCATCATCAAAAACATGGAATTGAGGGAGAGGCTAGTTTCACGAATATGTTTACGGTGTGCACAAATACTTATTTGGTGACCCTATTCCCTGAGACAGGGAACATTGGAAGAATACCAGGTTTGGGAGTGGATTAGAGAAAGATCTTAATTTTAGATCTGGACATGTTAATTCTAATATACCTTTGGGATTTCCAAGTGGACAAGTAGGGAGTTGGATAGCAGGATCATTAAAAGACATAAGAGGAAGGAAAACAAGCTTATTCAAACTCCATTCAGTGACGTTTTATAAATATACCCCTACAGTGAACCCTTAAGACACAATGTGTGCTTTAATTGTTGTAACTAGTTGTGTATAGATAATTTGATGATTAGCTCACAAGGCCCACTAGAACAACTTTGACTTCATTCTACTGGGAATCCTTTGGAAGCATTAAGGGAATTTCAGATTTTTTTAAAGAACAGATTTGCAGATAGAAGGAAGAAATGCTATCTCCCTCCAGTTTGGAGTTTCCAAGGAAAATCAATGCATAAATAATACTGCTTCATTTCTGTACCTTTTGTGTTACTTCAAGAAAACTGGGACATTTCCAATTTCCCATGATTTACAGGAAGTAGGTGAGAGTGCAGAGATTTTCATAAACTTCCTTAATATAATGTTGTAATATGTCTGTATAATAACAAACATCTAAGTAAGAAATAAAAATCCTAGACAGGCTTTTTGCCTTTTTAAATCAGCAATGAAAATCTAGACAGAAGCAAATGTCTGTCTGAACATGTATTTTCAGTTAGAATTTTTATTCTGTAGATAACACATTTGGGGAGTTTTTAAATAATAAACTTTGATTAATAGAAAAATAAAAAATAGAGAAACTCAATAATAGTGATAAAAATTCAGGGTTCACTTCATTTTGTGAAGTTTTCTTAATTGAGACATAAGCTATAAGCTCAAATGTAACTTATTTGTAATTTTTTCAGAATGAGAAATTCTGGCTTAAGTTTTGTGTCTGAGTATAATAAAAATTCTTTAATTTCATGAAATCATGAGTAGTAAACTCAAAAGTCTCATGAAATCACTGGTAATAACCTCAAAAATCTCCTTGTATTACTTATCACATACCTATTGAGACAAAATTCACAGAGATTACTAATTCTTGGCCAAATTACACACTGTAGGAACTAAAACTAGGAATAACAAACATTTGGTTATTTGAGGTTATAAAGAAAGTTGGGCCAGGTTATGCAGGGCAAAAATCTCTTAAGTTCTTAATTTTCAATTAATATTTTTGCCTGTGTTGTACATATTAGGGTTCCTTGTGAGTATATATTCAAAAGTAAAAATTCTTAAACTCATGTTTTTAGTGAAGATAGAATAATATCTCAAAATCTAAAGACTCTTTAGT